AGAGAGAGAGAGAGAGAGAGAGAGAGAGAGAGAGAGAGAGAGAGAGAGAGAGAGAGAGAATGTGGTTTGTACTCCCATGACACTGCCTTTTGTTCTCTATATGGACAAAGCTGCAACAGGTCACCTAGTGTATAGCAAGTACCTGCAAAGCCTGTTGAACAGAGCTGATGTCAATGTCTATCTTTTCCCTAAAGTTTGTCATGAAATTCTTTGGAGCACCCCTTCAGGCCCTTCAGGGTCAAAACCTGGACCGGAATCTCCAATTGAATGGCCGTGTCTTGGGCAACTCAAAGTCCCCAGCTAGATGCCACATTCTTTCCCTGTTCAGACCAGGAATCATAGTCCTGAACGGTCGGAATCTTCAGTTGGCCAGCTTCCAATAGGTTGGCCTCATTCCTCATTTTTCTGAAAGCAACCCAGAAAGGGTTTCCATCCAGCAGCCCCAAAACTACCAGCCGTTTGCAGGGCCCACACCCAACAGGAGTGTAAAGCTAGCATGTGATATTGCACCAAATGCAGACATAATCCCATGACAGGCCATGTCAAGGAGCTCTAATTCTCTCTTTCTATTTGGTGACCGCATTTCATCTGCAAACAATTGACATTGCATTAAGCATGGAGATGAACATGAATAGCAAAGGAACACAACAATACCTTGATATGGACGTTCATGAATCGCAACCTCTTCTGGCTAGCAACAATAATGAGAGGTGCACCATCAGAAGCTTCGACTGGGGGCAGAACTAATGTGTTTGATTGTCCATCATAAATGAAGTCGTCCACATCAGGTGCATCAACGATCAGCTGCTTCATTGGCCCCAGGCAGACCACTGGGCTCGATTGCTTGAACAATGGCTCTTGAAGCCGAATGTCCTCCTGTGTCCATAGTGGATCATCCTCCACACTCCTTTCATCTCGCCATGAACCCACAAAGAACTGAGCAACTGCCAGCAGGAAGTCCAGAACCACAAGGATCCTGGGCCTTTGTATGCGCATCAAGATGGAAGTTCCACTTTGTCCCATTTGCATATCCACAACAAACATGGACAGAAGTGCGTTATCTGGCTTCGCAGCAACCTCTGGATCTTGATTGCTGCAGATCATTACTGCCTTGCCCAGGTCCATGCAGGGTCCCAGCATCAAGCGCATCTCTGGTTTTGTATCCGGGCGATTGTCATAAATGGACATAAGCGGAAGTGTCAGGAGGACACATGACTCTCCATTTGATGATGATCGGTACGCCACCCACAGTCCAGAAACCTGGTGAAAACACCGAGTCGAACACACCACAGGACGCAGAGGAATGAGAAATAAACGCAAGGAGCCTTTGTCACCATGACTTCACAAGAAATCAGAGTAACATACTAGATGTGCTCCGTTCAAGTATCTCTTTCACATATCCCCCAACACATTTAAGCTGCATTGGACACAAGAGCGATTGGGGTAAGACACTGCATGCCGATGGATGTTCATGTTGGTCATAGGAGGAGCCAGTTGGAAGGTTGTCAGGTCAAATGTGAAAGTTAGAATACTCACGAGCCTGTAGCGTTCGTCTCCTGAAAAATGTTGATCTTTATCATCTCCAGTTGTGTGTTAGCCGTTTGATACCAGAACGAAACGACAACAACGTTTCTTGTTTGCTGCTGATTTCTTTTTCTTTTTTGTATCAAAGCGTGCATGCATCATTTCTGGTTCCTGAACTTCTCTTTTTCGCTTGAGACGCCCGTGTGTCATGTCCAGTTTCCAAAAATCTGAGAGCACGCGTGTTTTGGATTTTCGCTCCAGGGGCCGCATATTGTTAGACACATCCGAACGCGTACTAGTCGCATTCACTCGAGGCTGTGACGCGTTATAGGATATCAAGAACTCAGAGAAGACCACCTGTACTCTCTCCCCCCCTCTTCCCCCCACTACACCCCCCATACCCCATCGAAACACATGCTAGTCGTATTCGGTTTCCAAAAGCGTGTGGGGCTGTGATGCATTATAGGATATTAAGGATTCAGAGGAGGCCACCCGTGCTCCCTGAAAATCCATCCCCCCTGCGCCCCCCCATGCGCGTCTACACATGCACACACCATCGCGCACACACATGCACGCACACATGTGCACACACATCCACACATGCACACATACATGCTTAATGTTCACCTTATCTGAGTTCCTGGGGGTCCCCTCTGGGAATATAGAAAAGTGAATGCTCAAGGACCAGTACATCCAAGCCTCCTTCGCAGTCACGGATTCCCACCGTGCACCAAGCTTTGCCGAGCTGCCGGCAGTGCACTTTTTTTCTGTTGGCTGGCACCGCCAGTCATTGTGGTCTGGAAGCCCTGAGCCCCCGAAATTTTTGGATTGGCTCAAGTTCGATTCTAAGTTTGTCCGGGCGATGAACTGGTGGGGCATATAGACAAAAATTGAATGCTTAAAGGTCAGGTGATGTACTTGGAGTGATGTGCGTGAGTTCAACTTTGAGTCTTTACAGAAGGAGGATTTGGTGAGTCATCCTGTGCTCCGCATTGCAGATCCCAAACTCACATCCATAGTTACAATGGATGTGAGCAAATACGAGATTGGCGCAATGCTGCTACAAGATGATGGTGATGGACTGCGCCCACTCAAATATTTCAGCAAACGCATGCACAGCAACAAGGTAGCTAGCTCCACGTACGTGAGGGAACTCTATGCCTTATAGAGAGGCACTGGAGCATTGGAAACACTACCTTCTTGGACACCATTTCAAGGGTTATTCTGATCATGAGACCTTGCAATGGATCAAGTCTCAGACTAACCTGTCTACGACTTTGTCTCGCTGGTTGCATGAGATCGACATAAATGACTTTCCATTGACGCATTTTTTTTGTGAATGCTTTGTTTCGCCATCCTGAGTACATGACTTGCTCCTATGACCTCCAACAGAAATTGAAGGAGGACTTGGCGGAGCATACCGCCAAGGATCCAAAATATTGTCTGATCCTTGAGCAGATCAAAGCCGAGCCTAGCAGTCAGCCTAACTATCGCGAGTGCCAGGGTCTGTTTCGTGTGTCTGGGAAATCTGACAGATTGTGTGTTCCTAATCATGCCCCTCTCATAACCGACTTTTTGGATATCGCGCATAGGAGGAGCAGACACTTCGGCTTTGAAAAGACTTATGGGAGCTTGTTGTAGCAGTTTTGACTGGCCCGATATGAAGAATTGCGTATAGAAGTACAGAGGAATGTATTGTTATGAACATGATTGTCCGTTGAAATTTTTGCCAACGCTCACTCACAGGAACTCCCGTACACGCCCATACATGCACAGAAGGAAGGGGAGAGGTAGTGGAGTGTCACACCGCCCAACAGAAAGAACGCAGCGGAAGACTCAGAGGAGGGAAGTGACAGAATACGCACCCAGTGAATTCTCTCCACACCAATCCCAACAATCATTCATAGAAGACAACCGAGTGATCACAGCCAAAAATCAATGAAGAGATGACAACTCGAACACAGTATTACAACTGTTTATCAAACTCAGAGCATCTTTTTCACTGAATAACCTCAGAACCCTGTTGCGCTACCCTCAAAGGGGTAGCGCCTCAACCCCACACCCTCTGGACAGCTAAAAATAGTACCAGAACCCCAGGTAACACCCAGCGCCACCCTGACATCCAACTCAGTGGCCTGCGCCAAGATGAAACAGGCTCCCAGAGCCAATCGCCACCCAGATGATGAAGAAGAAGCTCAGCGCCAACAGTTCCTGATGAAGATGAAGCCCAGACAATGATATCCTCTGAGAAGATGCAGCCATGGCTGCATCGCCACTGGGACCCTACTCCTGAGGAGGGTCAGCAGTGCACCACGTGCTCCAACGCATCAGACCCCTGATAGCCCAGACCGCTTTGACTCCCAGAGAGTCAGGGCGGAGAGCGTTGACACCAGTCTGGTCAGCGCTCCAAAGGTCTGGCTATGTCCGCCGTCTCCCACGCATGTATCAGTCACCACGACCTGATGCCACGTGCGCAGCCACTTCCACCACGAAGTGTCAACTGCCAAAAGCCCCGGACCGATTCTCTCAACCTATCTATACTCTACCCTAGCCTAGACTCGACCTAGACCGGACTGACTGACCGACTGGTACTGCTTCTGTTTTGGCCCTTAGGGCCTCTCCCTACCCGGCTATAGGCTATAGGACTGTCTATCAGCGTAGGCCCATTGGGCCTGTCTGTCCTAGGGGTAGCCCGGGTCTGCTATTCGCAGTTAGGGTAGCTGTAGGAAATTCGAGTTAGTACTGGGCCCATATTTCCTATATTTACAAATATGTCCCCCACGAATTTTCCTTACAGGTAGGTCTCTCAGTTAGCCCTCAGCCAAACAAGACTACGAATCTGTCCCTACCTATGGTACAGCCTCGTCAGAGAGGGGCTACAGGCAACCTGGAACCAGCAAGTCATTGCAGTATGGTGTGTCAAGGTCCAGAATCCATCGACAACCACCCCTCAGTCTCTTGAAACCGTTGCCGATCCCTTCCTCAACTGGTGAGTCAGTCTCTGTTAGTGTCACAGACATGGGAAAGGTGAGCAAAAGGGGATATTCTCAATTCATGATCATCATCAATTGTTTCTCCAAATTTCTTAATCTAATATCCTCCGCTGCATGCACCGACTGATTTGGTCATATCCTTAGTTTGAGAGGAAGTACATTTTACAGTTTGACCACCCGAAAACTCTTGTAAGCGATTGGGATACCATGTCGGTGTAGGATCCTCAAAGCATAATGTGAAACAACTTTAGTCACGCGGTTAGCATAGTCGCCTTGAAACATTTTGAAGGTGGAGTACATGCTATGTAGAGATTCATTAGTTCAACTTCACTACCAAACTCTACGGGGTCAAACAAAACATGACGTCTGGTTGCCATCTAGAAGCTAATGGACAAGCAGAATTGTCACCCAACTCCTAGATGCTTTGATTATCCCTTATCAGGACACTTGGGATGAAGAGTTCGAGACGGTTAAGGGGTTGTACAACAACTTCATTCACTCCGCGACCGGTGCGACTCCCAACACACTGCAATACGGTCGGCGGATCCGCAGCCCTCTTGATTCTTGTTTCCTGATCGTCCAACTACCGTCTTCACCCGAATACAACGCCCGGTCATTATAGCTGTATTTGGCATAACTTCCAGTCCAGATGCACTCAAAATGACCAGGCGTTCTATTCGGGTGAAGACGGTAGTCTGACCCCTGGCATGCCTGGCTATGGAGTCGAGTATCATAGCAATGAACAAGGAACAGGATGCCATGATCAAATTCACCTATCAGTGACGCAGGCCTGCAATTTTCAAGGGAGGAGAATACGTTTGGGTTAAGATGTCTGAGTTTTCAGATGAGAAAGGAGTGTCTCGCAAGCTACTCGCACTATACTACAGCCCTTGGCATTCTGAAGGTTGTGGGGGATGAGAACTTCGATCCTCCCTATGCGGTTGATGTGCCTCCTCATCTGTGCACATATCCAGTGTTTCATTCATTTCAATTGTATCCGTACCCTAAGTCTACGTCCTTTCCTGATTGTGATCCTACTATCCCTCGTGCTATTGATGGCGGATATGAAGTTTACAGAACTATGACTCGTACAGCTGAAGTACGGGACAGACAATATCAAGTGCACTTCCTGTATCATTCTCTTGACGAGCTGATCAAGACTGCACCTTGCATAGTAAGCGCACATAAGCATCACAAGCACCTTACCCCGCATGAACAGATGACCTTTGAATTCTCCGCCTATGATGCACTTTGCAGGCACTCTAATGACTCTAGTCGCTCGAAGAGACCTCGCTCTTAAGGTGGGGGTGATGCAATGACCTGCAAAATTGCAGACTGAGAAATCTGCTGTTCTAAGGTTTGTTGCATCTGCTGGGTATGCATGCGTGAAGTCTGAGTGCTTTGCTGGTACCCCATGCGCTTGCTGTGTGTTTGAGTGATGGTGTGTGCGTTTGTGTGTGATCCGCCTGGAATAGTCCATGTGCTGGAATGGTCTGGAGGCCTGGTACTAACCTATTTCCATGCATGTACAGGATCCATCGGGTAGAAATGGGGTAGAGGAGGCCGTGGAGGCCAAAATCATGAGCAGCCAGTAGAGTAGCAGAAAGGACAAAAAGGTAGTACCTTTGGAGAGGCCGGGTACCTTTACAGAAGTCCGGTAGGCTTAGGGACAGGTACCAGTCCAGTAGCTCTGAGTCTAGAACCTGTGGGAAGTGGGATATCAGACTGCAACTATGTTCCCGCCAAAAGTGGAAGGTACCAGTAGTCTTGGGAGGCCGCACGGCCTGGAAGTCACTACGACAAGAGGCACTAGTCTGGTATATCATGACAGGAAGCAAAGAGCTTCTCCTCATTTGCTTGCGTCCACTTGCGGACATGCTGCTGGGGCGCTCACCCTGCAAGTTTAGTGGAGGAAGGAGGCGGAGCTTGGCCCTCACCTTGGCAGTGGAGGTAACCAAGGTGGAGGGTGGGGAAGGTCCAGATATGGCGGAGGCCTGGGGAGGAAGGAGGAGGAGGCGGGAGGAGGAAGAAGAAGAGGAGGAGAGTGAAGAAGGGAACTTACGTTAGCTATGGTGATCTGCATCTTCATCTTCTTGGTTGGCGCTGCACCTAGGAGGAGGAAGAAGTAGTGGTTATGGAGAGTCAGGAAGAAGTAGAAGAGCTCTCTCTCAGGAATGAGGAAGAAGTAGAAGAGCTCTCTCTCAGAAATCAGGAAGAAGTAGAAGAGCTCTCTCTCAGGAATCAGGAAGAAGTAGAAGAGCTCTCTCTCAGGAATCAGGACAAAGTAGAAGAAGAAGAGATCTCTCTCTCTCTCGCTCTCTCCGGACGATGATGCCACAAGGATGATGACTCAACTTATGCAGGTCGCTGCCGAAGGTGAATCCCAGACCGGAATGAAGTCCCAGCTATGGCGCCTAGGTAATTCTCCCTCTCCCTCGTGCCTATGGCCACCGCCAACGTCTCCACTCCACTATACTTGCCTACTCCACTAGCACTGCAGCTCTCCCAAACTGGCGCCGGAGCATGACACTCAACTGATGCTCAACGCTCTGTCCCCAAACTGGAGGACTGGCCTGGCTATATACCGCTTGGCCCTGCTGGACTGCCCCCGGTCTCCACTCTAGAGTCCGATGAATGTTCCTGATCGCAGGCCCAAGTCCTGGTCCTTCTCTGGCCTGGCTCGGCCTGCCTGGGTCCCTACCGGACGTCCAGGTGGCCCCGCTGACACAGCAAGGCTGGTCCAGAATGGACGAGGACTGGGCCATGCAGTAGTGGCTGGTCCCGTCCTGATGCAGCTGAAACTGAATCTAACCTACAACGGCCAAAACTGGAATCCGCTGGTCCAAACAGGCGCCAGCGTTTGTTCAGACAAAGGAAAGACCGGACGTGACACCATTTGGAACATACATAAATAGACCAGACAAAGTCAGTCCCAAACAAGCTCAGCATCTAAAATAAATAAATAAATGCCCAAAGAAAGAGCACAAGCGGGACAGAAATAACCCAGGCCTAGAAGAAAACGGCTGTGGCCCTCCAGGTCACCCAAAATACAGGGACACACGGCCTGGGGGCCGAAGTGCAATAATCGAACCTCATAGAGGCCCGTGTAGTAGGCCCCAGCATGCTACAGAAGGGAGGAGAGTAGCACAAGAGGGAGAGAGGAGCTATAGAAGTTGCATAGCTGTGCGATGCCATGGATAGAAAGCCTCATACATGGCCATACATGCAGCAGAAGGAGCACATTATACATATCCACAAATTCTCCCAGCTAATGTATTGTATAAGTAAGAACAACTGCACTGTGCCATGGCGGCAGCAGTGCAATCCCCACATATAATGGTATTAACACGGTACATGATCTAGGAATAGGGAGCCAGTGTAACGAGCGTGAGGCTGAGGGTGAGCCGAGGGAGAGGAGAGAGAGGGAGAGAGTGAGAGCACACACACACACTCACTCACTCGACACGACAGACTCGGACTGAGGATCGGACGCAGACACAGTGGCAAGGAACAAAGTCGAAGTCTTGGATTCCGAATGCCGAAACAGCAAGTCACACTGAGTACGAGTACAGCAGCAGGGAACTGGTACCAGACCGGGCCCCGTACYGTACGGGGAGCCGGTATAAGTACCGGTGACACGTACGGTACTAGGGGCATTTCTGCAAAGGCCCCGAGGGCAGAAYTGAAAAATGCAGTATTTGAAAGTGGCGCCCGAATTGCAGCATGGCGCCAGTTGTCCAAAATCCTACGGTACCAAAGGAGGGGTTTGGAAAAAGGGTGCCAGGCCGAAAACGGGATGCAGCTGAAACAGCAAAAGATAGACCAGGGATCGAGCCCTGGCGGAGTCCGTAACAGCCAGGGTCCACTTTCTCGAACTTTCTGCTTTACTCTCTTCTTTTTGACATTTTACAAAATGTGCGAATGAAATAGCAAACATGCAGTGAAGATATTCTTTGCAGATTAAAGAAACTGGAATAGAAACCAAAGGATGAAGGTGCAATTGCAAAAGGGAGCACATGTACCTCAAGTCGTGCCAATGAGCTTTCCCTATCCTGCCCATGGTAGAGCTCGAATTCCGTATGTCCAACATTGACAGTTATTCGAGTGGATGTGAAAGCCTGTGTGTCCTCCTCTTGGAAAGACATAGAGTCATCCGAAGATACCTCAACATCCAACTGCTGCTCGTGAGGGCTTATCAAGGACTGGCTCTCATCAGTGCCATGTTCAGAGGGAGGATATGATGGCTGCCTGAAGTCTGCTGGAAGTTTAGGTTCCTCAGCGAAGTTGCTGGATGCACACTGTGTAATCAAGTCGTACTCTTTGTTCGACATCACTGCACGGAGTTTGTCCATCTGCTCCGCAAGGACAAAGCAAGGGCCATCAAACACCGACAAACAAATCCACTATTGTAAGTGATCAGACAATGGTCAAACTTGCAAACAATGGACATTATATTTCGCAGTGCTTTGCAGTTTGGAGGGAATGCAAGGCAACTAATCTCTGAAGACTGATGGCACGTTATCACCCAGTAAAAGAATGAAACGAGGGGGGAAACTTTCCAAAAGATGGCTTCCTTCCTAGGCTACCACAGTGGTCCAGGGCTACTTGCCAGGCCAGGCGACCTGGGCCAGTGTAGCCTGGACCCACATGATTTTATTTTTTTATTTTAACTTCATTTTCATTTTGGTCAAGGATTTCTGAGTGAATTTCAGGGAAAAGTAGTTTGATAACTTTGATTCATTATCCTGTGTAAAATGGGCTTTTTTCTTTTTCGTTTTTTTTTTTTTTTTTTTTTTTTTTCGGGCTGAGACCTTGGCCAAGGACCTTGCCTGACGGAGCAACCCAGGCAGCCCAAGGTGGCCTGCAAGGGCCGGCTGGTAGCCTAGCTTTTCTTTGCAAAATATAAAGGCACAGAAATTCAGCCATTCTCTAACTGACGGTTCCGTTTTTTATGCTACAAGTCTTGAGACCATTGCTGCAGCCTATGTCACTTCCTGTATCAGTTATGGCAAACTAGGGGACCTGTTGCGACTACGCCCGCAATAAAAATGGAATGTTTGCCAAGAAGTTGGACTCTCTCTCTCTCTCTCTCTCTGTGTGTGTGTGTGTGTGTGTGTGTGTGTGTGTGTGCGTCCCTCTCTCTCTCTCACGCGCGCGCACATCTCGCTCTTTCTCTAGTCTGGGGAATCTCTCTCTCTCCCTCTCGCTCTTTCTCTAGTCTCTCTCCCGCATCTTGGGCGCGTTTGTTCCCCCCCCCCTTCTAACCGTCTCGATGAACCACGGAACTAATCGCAGCAGATACTGTACTTGCTCGTG